GGTCACTGCCTTCCCAACCATTAACCCAGCACCACCACGTTCATCACTAAACCCTGTCCCTGAGTACCACATCTACTCCTTTTTCTTAATACTTCCAGGGATGATGACTCTACCATATCCTGGGGCCTGTTCCAATGTGTGATGACCCTTTCAATGAAAAAATGTTTCCTAATATCTAATGTAAACCTCCCCTGGTGCAACTTGAGGCCATTTCCTCTTGTCCTGTTTCTTGCTACCTGGGACAAGAGGCCAACCTCTACCTCACTAAAATCTCTTGGACTATCACTATGGACTGTTGGCTTCAAAATCTCCTTCCTCACCCTTTGTGTATGGCCAAGCCCTTCCTTTGTCACCTGCTTCTGTATATTCTCTTCTTATAGCTTTTCTATACCTCCTCAAAACAAGGTATTTCTTATGGTCTTTGCAGTTAAACATCACTCTTTAATATATTTTTTTCTGCTCCCTGCCTGGACTTCCTGCATCATTGGCTAAAAAATAGTAATAAAGGTGATGTAGTTTAAATTATTTCTTACCTACATGGTCCTGACACAGCAGAGATTGTGCAGATAGCGTGTTAGTGTCAGGTAACTTTATTACTTCCCTGCCCCGTGGGCACACATCATATGGAGAAGAATTCCCTAGAATCACAGAATCACTAGGTTGGAGGAGACCATCAACATCATATAGGTATGAAAGTGCCACTGAAGGCCAGTATACATTTTTGGGCGATTTTTCTATGAAAAATTTGGGAAGACTTAGCTCTAGCTGCTCTGAAGAGTTTCTGATATTGCAGAGTTTCTGGGCTCTGCACAGGGATTTGAAGGTGGGAATGCAGTGCTTGCAGTCCAGGGAGAGATATAACAACTCTGCTGCCTCAGCGCTTGCCACAGCAGCTCCCCTGATGCTGAGGCACTTGGAGTGCTCAGGTCAGTGATTTGTGTCCCTGGATGCTCTGTCTGAGCCTGTGTGTGTCTGTGTGCTTGGGGAAGAAAAAGTCTGCAGCTACTCTGCAGAGTCTGCGGAGCTGGCTTAAGGTGATGGGTTGGGACACGTGTGTGGAGGGGCCCTTCAGAATGCATTTGTGGGCAGTGAGGTGATGCCTTGGCTGTGTGGGTCTCTCTCAGGCACTCATTCTTCTGTGTCGCCTCAATTCTTGCTTAAAGGAAGGCAGTTGCTCTATTTATGGCAGACATTTGTGGCCACTGGGGATTTGTCTCCATGAGCAAAGGCTCAATTAACAACTGGCTTCTTCTACAGGACTATGAATTACTGCTTTCCTGGTCCCTAGTTTTTTACTCCAGGTTCTTCAATGCATTGAAATTGGTATTTGCCCTGTGTAGTGTTATGCTCAGAGACTGTTAGTCTCCTTCTGTAACTCTGCTGGTTAATGAAGTGAAGCAGGCACTAAACAATGTGAGACCTTCCCACTCCCATGCCTCTCCATTAGCTCTGTTTTGGGCCCATGGCCTCACTTATGTACCTGCTATAGCTGTCAAAATGACCACCTCTTTTCCACCCCAAATCCAGCCAGATGCATAAGGCATGATCTGTGTGCCTCACATCTACAGACTGTACCTGTTCCCCAAATTTATTTACCCCATGGACTATGTTCAGGCAAATGTCTGAGATAATTTAATTGGAAATGGGCCTTCTGCCAGTCCCTTTAGAGTTGGGGATCAGCAGGATAATTTGATTGGAAATGGGCCTTCTGCCAATCCCTTTGGAGTTGGGGATCAGCAGGGCTTTTCCCTGTTTAGCAGACACAGATTCAGAATAGTGTTTTTCTTCTCATTTGGTATCTCTAAAATAGAATGATGTGGTGTCTGATGAGAAAAGAGGCTCTGGATATGCTGCCTGTGAGATTTCATTGTAAACTGAGGAGCATACTTACCTACAGCATATGCCAGTGCTGTTAAAGAAGGATTATATACAGATGAGGAGTTAATAGCTTAGAAAATATTTGCCTAATATTTTACTGGAGATGTATTGCCATTAATGAGCAACCGACTCCCAGCAAATCACATCCAGGAAAGCAGAGCACAGCCAATAAATACACCATCAGGGGAGGAAAAATGGTGCTTTGGTGACTCCTGCATCCTACAACTCCTGCCCAAAACCTCTATTTCAGATGACAGGACTTAAGATAAGCATTTGCCCTCAGATCCTTCAGATTTGTTCTGTGAGTCATCAGGCTGACAGTGTTCAAAACACTGTTTGTTAAAAAAATAGAGAAAGAAATGGGTGTTTTACATAGGTTTGACCCTTGCAGTACTTAAATATGCTGATGACTGGTACAGTTTTGCCCTGTGCTTTGATTTGAAGGTAATGAACAGCCCCTGATAAGTTGTAACTACAGATGGCACAGTGTTAACATCCTTTCTTGGGAAAAAGAAAGAAGCAAGAAGACCTTAAAGAAAATGTTTCATTTGGAGTACAGCATGAGTTTTGCTCAGAACAGTCTTCTGGAGCAGATAAGTCAGGCAGAGGTCAAACAGGGTTTGGTGGTGTCACTGATGAGTTTCTGCTTCAGGCTGGGACTTCATATGAGCTGTTAGGGATGGATTTTGCTCCAGATTCCCAACATTTAATACTTTTATTACCTATTTAAAGCCCATCCCAGAGTTTTGCAGCTTAAAGACATATTCAAATTGCCATTTACAGCTGATGCCCTACTGCATTCCTTTACTCTACTGCAAGGCAAAGCCTTTGGCAGTGTCAGTGAGTCCCAGTTGGAAGGGAAGCCTGAAGAGGCTGCAGTGAAAGTTCTCTGTCCATAGATTCCAGAGGAAGCCCTCAGGCTATTTGCTTGCCCTGAGACATCAGTTAATCAGTTGTTATGGTGTAGGGGCCAGCTGTGTATTGGCCTTCTACTGATGCTTTAACAACACTATCACTGTTATAATATGTTAGACCTAATTAATTTTCCCTGGTTGCCACCACCTGGTTCTGCTTAGATCAAGCATTAATGAGTAGTTGACAATAGTTAATGAGCTTCTGCAGCAAGCAATTCAATTTTTTCAGTGACTAAAATTACTTATTTCTTCTGGGCACTATGCTCCCCCTCCCTGGAATATTTGGCACCATCAGCTCTCCATTGGGTCAGGCAGGATCCATCTCCATCAGTAAGAGCCTGGAGGAGTGAGTACTGTCCAGAATTGCCCTCCTCCACTGAGCAGGGGAGCTGTGCTTTTGTCCACAGCTTCTCACACTTGTCTGTAGAGCAGTTCAGCTCTTTTACTGCTGACATGCCCAGCCAGCCAACCCAAGCAGTCCATGCTCTGCAGCCATGGGATCACCTTCCTTGCAGTGATGGGCTTTGTAATGGTGCTTTTGGTGAGTCCTGCTCTGACTATTATGGTAGGTCTTCCTCAGTTGTCCAATAGAATCATGGAATGGTTTGGAATGGAAGAGACATTTAAGATCATCCAGTTCCAATCCCACTGCTATAGGCAGGGACACCTTCCACTAGACCAGGTTGTTCAGAGCCCCATTGAACCTGGCCTTGCGTATTCTCAGGGATGGAATTTTCGATAATAAAGATTTCAGTATGGATTGCTCATGGGGAAGAGGATCTGCTCTGTCCCCAGATATTTAGGAACTGTATCACCATTTTCCTGCTTTCCCACAGGTGCTTTAGGTGTCATTGCCTTGCATTGTGCTAGCTATAAAGTGCTCTGATTATAGTGAAATGAACAACTTATGCTAGATAGACACCTAAATTCTTCTGAAAATCATGGTGAAGTGACTTCCTTCAGATGGATTTGGCACTTGGAGGTATCTGTAAAGCAGAAGTACTGCTCACCTACCTTGTAGCTTTGGTTGGTTCCAAATAATTCTCCAAACTGGGAGATAGTCTTTCAAACCACAGGTTGTGAATGGACAACTGAATCAAGATACTTGGCTGTCTGTGTGAAGGAACCATTAATTAAAAGGCAGTGGGACAAATCAGAAAATGTGACCATTAGGGACATACTCTATGCCTGGCCAAGGAAAACGGTGGGCAAAGTTTGCCACCACTGCCTGAATTGATCGTCAAAGCACGTCTAGCTTCCTACTATTTTAAGTACTTTCTGTCTCCAATCCACTTTATAAAGATTGTTTTCGAAGTTTCTCTTGCTCCTGCGCAATATAGTCTGGGGAATTTGCTCAGGTTGACCTAGAAAGAGGATGAAGAAGAAAGTACTTTAATAAGAGATCCTGCTCAATGTCAATTGTTTGGATTCCCTCCCTCTTTTGAATTTACTGGAGAAATCGAAAGCATCATAATGAATGTTCAGATGATTAACTATCCTTGTGATCGCACATGTAAAAACCTGGGGACAGTTTTTTCCCCTGTAGTCTCAGTTGTGGCTCCCAGAGCCATATGGAGGCTCTGTGGTCCTCTGCAGACTGCAGATAGTACTGTCCATGTCAAAAGCAGTGTCTCCATACTGTTACTGCCTCTGCTGGGGACTGACAATATTCACATGGCCTCCCTGGAGCCCACAAACCATCTGCAAAGATATTCCTGGAATGGCCAAACCCCAAGGTTCTCGAACTGTTGGGATCCCATAGCACAAGTGAGTTTGTGCTCCACTAAGCTGCTTAGAAGCAGCTATAATGTAATTATTACAGTCCTTTTCCTCATGGCTGTGCAGCAATGTCATAAACATGGAATGATTATTTAATTATAAAAAGTATTCTGGTAATTATTCATCAAGATGCTGATGATACTGAATTCACAGCAGAATTGTGGTAAGGAGAAAGTGGCTGTACTTCAACAGAATGAATCTTCTTGGTGGCAACTTCTGCTTCAATGTGAAGTAAAAAAGAAATAAAAAGAGCAAGAAGGAAAAAGGTGTCTTATTCTTAATAATTTATGAAACCATCCTCCTAATTCCAGACTTGTGTCAGTCTTCTGTGATAGATGTGAAAATATCTCAGGACAAAATAAAAGCATATTTCTTTTTTACTATTCTGCTCCAAGGAAAAAAGACAAATTATGCCTTGTGAAGAAGCAATTTGCTATAAACTGTAAAAATGCTTTAATATTAATATTTTATAATAAAATTCATGACATATTTATAAACACTCTATCAAGCATTTACAACTGAACCACAGCTGAGAGCTTGGACTGGAATAAATAAGCAAGGACACAGCTAGTATGAAATATACAGCTTGATTTTTATAATTGTGTGTGCTTTATTCTTTACACAAATGGAATGGATGCGCAGAGTATTTACACATAACAGGAGTGTAAGCTGGACAGGGTGTTTTGTAAACTCCAGTTCAGATTCTGAGTACCCCACACTACAGCTGGACTGAGAAACATCCTGCTAAAGAGACGCACGCTGGACATTGTTCTGGAGGGAGCAGCTTGGTGCAGACAGGCTGCTGCATTCAGAAATTCAAACTGGCCAATTCAAATTTAGGAGCACAAATCCAGAAATTAAAAGGCTATCCCACTAAGAGCCAACAGTGTTGCCATTTTTATTTTCCTTTTTAAAGTGGTTTTTCCCCCCACACCAAAGATCTTGCCTAGGATGCTCGCTCCCATGCCCAGACATGCTGTTTTATATCAGGGCAAGTTGCCTGTGCTGTAGGGCCAGAAGGTGTAAGCTGCTAATGTGGTGTGAGAGATGATGGATTGCCTCTCGTGTTTTTCACCTTAAAGGCAGAATCTCAAAAAGGGCCAATGAAGTGATCGTTCCTATAGCTCTTGGTGAGATGTCAGTGCAGCTGAAGCCTTCTGCAAATCCATTTGGCCCTTGGGGTCTTTTTGTTAGCAATTTCACAGCACTGGCCTCAAAAGGATCTTGGTCCATGACTTGGCCCTCTGAGTGTAACAGTAAAATAAGCAGTAAATAATGACGGAAGGTGCTGAGCCGCTGTTTAATCAGGTGGCCTTGGTGTTTTACAGAGATGCAAAAATTATGATGAGGAGGATGGATGTTTAACTTCAGGTGATATAAATGAGATGGACTCCATTGAAATCAGAGGAGCGACTGTGATTTCCACCAGCTGATGATCTAGGCTAGCTATATGCTGAATAAATTTTAGATGCTATCTGTTAGCTTTGATGCTGATTTGTGTCCTAGAATGGAAACTTCCTTTTTTTAGCATAATAACCTTATCCTTATTTCTGAAACAATTGACAAAATGTCTGATTTTTAATGGGAAAGAAAAATGTTTATTCCACCAAGGAAGGGGCTTGCGCACTTGAATGCAGTTGCACAGTGAACCACATGCATAACATGACAGGCAAAATGTTCAAGAGGGAAAATACTGAGATTAAAAACTGTGGAGGATAAAAGACCACTTTCTGTGAACATAGCAGATATTATGGCTTTAAATCTGCATCTGAAAAAGGAGGGTGATACTTTTTCCTCAGCATGGTTTTTCCTACAAATGCCCTCATGTGTTTTCACTCACTGAATCCTCTGATCAGGGATACAATTTGAAAAACAAAAACTCAAATATAAGAAAACCAAAAATACAATTTGACTGGGTGCTGATGAGCAAGTAACAGTGAAGGTGTAATGCCAACAATTTCTCCATAGAAAACGAATGTAAATAGGTAGGTGGATCTTGTATACCTAGGACACTGTTGCTGGCTCGTAGTGGTTATTAGCTCAGGTACCACACTGCTCTCCAGGATGAGGATTTGTAATTTCAGTGCAATGGAGAGATTTCTTATCCTTGACTTTCACCAAGTGGTTCTTATGACCCTATCCACACCAGAGCATCAAACCATGCTAGCTACAATGACAATTACATCACAGAATATTGATCTAGAAACAGCCTTTACTACCAAAGAAATTACAAAGTGCTAGCATGGACAGGGTACCTCTGTAGGAAGGGGGATTAAGCAAGAAAGAGGCTCTTCCACTGGTTGATGGTCAGACTGTAAGACCAGTGAAGAAGTGCCATTCCACTGAGCCCTGTTAGCAGACTCTCAATGAGTCAGTGCATGGAAGATTTTTTTATTTTCTTTGTTTGTGGCAAGGAAAAATAATTAAGTTGTAATATTGCACATCTGCACAAAGCTAGCAAGATGTCATTGTGATCATTCATGGGTGGACAAAAAGCTGTGATAATTTTGATTCTGCTTAGACCCTATGGTGCTACACACTGTGCCAGAACATGAGATATAGCACCAGGGGTGTGATCTGGCACTTTTCCTAAAGGGTCCAGCATTCGCATTGATCTCATGGTTAGATGCTCTCAAGTCTTTAACATGGACAGAAAAGGAATCTGATTATGCTAAGCCGTGTTAGCATCAATACGAAATCAGGCGCCAATTGCTGTGGGTTGCAAGTTTGGACTTCTTTTTTACCAGATGTAATTTTGCATGAGTTTTATGCTTTTCTTCCTCCTCCCACTACCACCCAGTATGATCTGAACAGCTGCAATGCAAAAATGGACTGCAGCTCTTAGGATGCTGCAATATGGAATGCAAAACATCAACACACAAAACAAATGGGAGTACAAGTCCTAAGGGAAATAAGATCTCTCACTGGTTTTCTTGACGATTTGTTTTTAAATATATGTTTTATTTAAAAAAAAAAAAAAAAAAGAAGTGCAATGTCAACTCTAAGATGGAAGCACAAACAACAGACAGGGAAAAATAAATAATGTTACTACAGTAACCAAGGACTGATGGAAAAATTGATTGTACTCAGCCGTAGTGTTACTGTTCACTGTAAAGCACAGCACATGACAAAGCAAAACAGTTACTAGTAGGATAGTACCATAAAAGGCTGCATGCTGAACTAAGAAACAAAGAAGCAGATGTGATTGATTGCTTAAAAACAGAGCTGAAAATTAGAATGAAGTTCCTGCTTTAGGATACTTGGTTTTTCAGGTCTGGTGGGCTATTTCCCAACCTGAGGCAATAGTATTTTGCTAGCATGGAAAAATCCATGGCTTCCAAAGATCTGGGGTCACTCTGTGGACTTCTGCAGAATTATCCAAAATCAAAGCATTCATTAATTAATATTAAGAAAAAAAAAAGGTTTATAGCCCTTCTGGTTACAAAGCTCTTCTGGAGACTTAACTGAAACCCTTGTTTATAAATCTGCGCTGACCAGGCAGGAAAAATAGTTAAAGAAGTGTGAACTTCTCCGTTACCATAGTTGGGCAGTAAGTGAGAGAGGCCCACTCAAGAGCCAGTAAAATGCCCGTGTTTTTAACCCTGTCACTGCTGGTGGCTTTTGCAAAGAGCCAGCTCGTCGCGCTGTCCGCGGAAGGTGGCTGGGTCGCCCTGTCAGCTGGACAGGGTGTAAGAAGTGTAAGCTTGAAACAGACAAGTGCCAGAAGAGTCTATTTAGCATTTACCCTTAAGACATCTGTAAGCATTAGGGCTGCTGTAGCCACCAGCTATAAGCATTGCACTCCTGCAGTGCAGCAGAGGCAGGAGTGTGGGTTTTATAGAGAACATGGTCCAGCAGCAGCAAAGGCAACTCAGTTTTACTGTCATAGCATCCCTTGCAGTTGTCCCCTTGTAAGTCAGTGAGGAATGGCATCACTACACAGAAGAAGGGCAATGTGAAATGAGAAAAAAAATACCTCCTTCTCCCCTTCCGTACACCCCAGACTGCAATTCCACAGACTTTCCCCAAATCCCTCACAAATGTCTATTGCCTCAGTTTTTGCTTTTAAGACCCTTGTTGACTGTGAAATGAATGAAGATACAAGTTAGTTGGTGACCTGCTTGCAAAAAGAGGAAAGATCAAATGCTTTTGTTATTTCCCTGAGGGAAACAGGAAGAGTCATAAAACATTTGGGGATTAAGGGTGCCTCCTTCCTAAGAGAGAAATTATTAGCTGCATTTAAGCACTGACATTTTGCTTCTGAATAGTTGTCCCTCTCAAAGATACATTATCTTTTTGTGTTCAGAAAATTCCTACAGGGCAGTGAGTTCAAGAGATCTTTCCAAAGGATTTCATCATGATTAAACAGAGGCAAGGGAGAGGATTAAATTGAAAGAAAAAAGGATGACAACTACTATTTAAGGAATTTTCTTGCTTGTCATTAATAATAGAGAATCTGTTATGGAAGAGGTATAATGCAACTTGATGGTCCTCTTTACATTTGACAGTCGCACAAGGGTGTAAATATTTAATCTTTCAATTAATTAATCTTTACAAAATATCTTCACAAAAACATTTTACCTATAGAAATTAGTTTCTATACATCAATATATTTTTATTTTTATAAATTATTCCATCTTTAAGTGCCTTCTATCAATATAAATGATAAAATAGACAATCAAAAATTTTAAAGCTTTTCCCAGTTGTATCCCTCCTTGTTAACATAGGTGCTGTGAATCCTCGTACATGTGTCTGTCGGCATGGGAACGTGTTTGTGTGCACGTGTGTGTGGTGTGAAATGCTTCCATCCTCTCCCACCTCTAAACACCATCAAAATAAACCATATTGTTGGTAGCTCCTGATGCAATAGTGCTTCCAAAGGGGGAAAAAAAAAGCTTGACTTGGTTTCAGAAATCAAAAGATGTGCATAGTTACCAAAGTCGAGGTGTACCAACTACAAATGTGCAATGACAAACTTGGAACAAGACCCGCCTCCCAGTCAGGTCACAGAATGTCCCAACAGTGACCTCAGTAGGAAGTGGACCAAATACTCTGAGCTTGATTTTGCAAGGTGCGTGTGGCCCTGATCTAGCAAAATGCTTAAGCCTGTGCCTAGCTTTGAGCACGTGAATAGTCCTACTGGAACTGGTGGGACTGAACGGCGAAGGGAAGGGTCACAAGTGACTCCAAGTCAACAGGCTACTCATGTGTAGGAACTGGGGTCAAGTGCTGAGCGCCTTGCAGGATCAAGCCCCCTGTGAGGTTCAAGAGCTGGGAACTTCTCTAAAGCAATCAACACACTGAGCTCAGCCATTGAAATTGATCAAAATGTCCGCCTGGGCACAAGAGGTGGCTTAGCTCCCTTGACAGAGGGTCTCCACATCAAAAGTTTATACCTACAACTCGTGCTCTGAGCACACAACAGATTTGCTTTACATGGTAGAAGTCTTTTTGTTCCTACCCTTTGACCCATCAATGTCCTTCATGGCTTCAAACACTTTGTGTTGTACATTCATCAAAATTCACATTGACTGCAAAGAACATAAATGCAACAAAAACAGGAAAGCCTCCAAATAGTATATTATAGTTTTCTTCTAAATATTCTCCCGTCGTAATCAGAGGTGCAGTGGCTAATTTATAATTTTTCCTTTGAAGGAATCCAGATGAAAGGCCCAGATTGTTCTTCAATTACAAGTTTGCATTGATTATATATATCTTCTAAGCTATCTCCTTGGACAATAGCTGCAGTAGAGAAAACATACCAATATTTCTTTTAATTAATAGGTACAGTATCCAGCAGATCTTCAGCACACTCATAGATACTCATAAAATGAGAAGGAATACCAGCACACTGAAATGTTTATGGAAAAGTCACACCCCTGCATATGACAATTAAGTTCAAAGCAATGGCACCTGCCTCTGTCAGAGATCCATCCCACTGCTTGTACTGAGAAGACTGAGCCAGGTTAGTTCAGAGAACTAGCACGTCTGTCCTGGGGAGGGCAGCACAAGAGATCCTCCCACTGCTGGAGGTCAACTTCATTCAATTTAGAACCTACTTCAGCAGTGGGCAGCAGCAGATTTGCACCCTTTCTGATCTGGTTATGAGTTCACTCTTGGCTGCTGAGGTTAACAAGAACAGGCTTAAGCTAACAGAAGGTAAAATAACTGTAACAAAACACAGTGGTTTTTCCCTTAATTTCCCTCCACACAGATACTCCTTCAGGACATCAAACTTTTGAGGAGTCAAGTGCCTCAACTGCTCTTGAATTTCAAGGAAACAATTCTCTCAGGCTAGAAGTCCTTGCTCTGGGCACACTATATTGATAGGTTCTCTAGCTCAAAGACAGGGTTGATCCAGCAGTTTTGCAATAAAAGACTATATCTTGGGAAAAAAAAATTGGTATTAATAAAAACATACCTGTGAAATATTCTCCAAATTCTTGTTCTAATTTAATTGCTCGATCATAGGTTTTCTTTGCTTGCTCCTCTGTAAGACGTTTATTCATTTCCCTAGAAAGATGGAGGAATTAATCAAAAAGTTTAGATTCTTGCTAGAACAGCTTTCAAAAAGCATGCTCAACTGAATCACAGATGGATTGAGATTGGTAAAAGAATGAAACTGTAAAATTCCTCCAACAGCTCATGGACAGCTTCAATATTTTCAATTTAATTTCATTATTATGTAGTACAAAACTACTTCTTCAGACTATTTCCCATTTCACTTTTCTCTACCAAATTTTTATCTTGGGTTCACTACTCTACATTCGCAAACAAAATACAAGGTCTGAGTCTGGCAGCTGCTAACTGAGATAGACTTGAGATATCAGGAGCTCATAGACAGGTCTGGAATCCAGGATGTTGCATAGTCTGAGCACTCAGCACTCCTGCCTGAAGCTCCTTCAGGAACCTCTGTATCTCCCAAACTCAGCCGGTGGTCTCAGACGGATAAGGTTGTACTGACTGCTTATTGGCTGCTAATAAATAAAAAAACAAATATAGAAGATAACATTCTGGTTTCTTCAGAGTTTTATTATTCAATGGAGCATTTCTGTTTCAACAGAAGCATTATTTAACAAGTGTAAGAAATTAGTTCTCTTGCCCATGCATGCTCAGGTATTAATACCACTCCATACTGGCAATGAATTAAGATCATGCTCATTCACTGCCTTATACTCATATGCCTGTAGATGTCCAAATTCTCAATAAATAGAATTTGCTTGTTCTAGCATTTTTTCCCAGTGTAGATTAATTTTTTTCTTAAAACATGACAGAAATTTTCTGAGCCAACTAGGAGAGCATAAATCTGATTTTATGCCTTTCACTGAATCATATGATATGTGGTAATGGACTGTATACAGTATGCCATGGGTGATACAAGTAGTAAATTATGGACATGATAGTGAAAAAATATGTTCTATGAAGTGCACTACAGTATGAACTTGCAACAGCTAACACCTACTTGACTTCTGAAAAACATCCTGGAAGATGTCTGGGATGCAAAACGGAGTTTCCAGAAATGCCTTAAAGCTGCCTACCTATATAAGAAACCATATAGCTGGGAAAAATGCTTAGAAAAAGCTCTTAGCAAGTACTAATCCTATGGAGACAGCAGGTTTATAAAATGAAGGATAAGAAATATTTATTTTAAAATTTATGACAGTTATTTGTAGGATACATAAAAAGGTTTACTATAATCTGTGTGTTGTTCTGCTAAATTTGTAATAATACTAATTCTATTTATTGGAAATATTGCTATCTAATCAGGTGGACTTCACATCAGCTACCCCTGCTTTAGGTGACTTAACTAAAACTCTGTCCTGTAGTGGGACATGCCACTGCAAATTCTTAGCAAAACTTAACTTTTTCATCTTATGGGCACTTAACCAATATTGCAATGCTAACAGCATCTTTTCAGATCTGTTTCCAGTAAATTTTTGAAAAGTCTTTCTCAAGATCTTTGAAAAGCAGCAAAAATAATAATACAAATATAAACAAGTGTTTAAAACAAGTGTTTAAAATACTTTGAAACAGGTAGAAATTTGCATTACACTTTCAGGTTTTAGATTTGCCTGGGGTATAAAACTGTGCTAATTGTATTCCTGACTCTGCCCATTCTGGGTCCTTAGAAGAGAGGATAGAGAAGGAGAGGACCATGATGTCCATTTTTCATGATGAAATTAAAATACTGTCATACTGCAGTCCCTTCTATTTCTTATTTCTTAGCTGGGGACCTGCACAGCTGGTGAATTCAAAATATAGTGCATATTTTACAGGGCCTTCCTCCTCTCCCAGTGAAGAGCTCACCCAGGCAGGTTCTTTCTTACTTCAATTTCTCATCCCCATGATCTCACCACTGTCCTCATTCCTCTAGAGAGAGAGGCTGATTGAAGACTATGAACAAGCATGCCTCTGGGAGTAAACCAGGTGGAGTCATGTAGGAATGAGAAGGGAGGGAGGGAGAGAGAGAGGGGTGATGGAGCAGTTTGTTTACAGCAATGGCCATGTGTTCTTTCAAGTGCAAATTTGATTTATGCTCCCTTCACTCTTACCTCCACTTCAGATGGCTGCAAATGAGCATATGCATAAATGAGACACTACAACTTTATGTGCTAATTTTGATGAAAGAGAAATCTTTTGTCTTTGTTTCTCTGCATCTTGTGATTAGAATTTTTTTTTGTCTTTTGTGTTTTGACTTTGCTATTGAAGTGGCTTTCAACTCATTTGTATGAACAGGAGTAATAGTTATGACAGATAAGCCAATAATTTTTTTTTGTGTTGCAGTACTCACATGCCTAAAAAAGACTGAATCACAGAATCATAACGTTGAAAAAGACCTCCAAGATCATCAAGTCCAACCTTTGACTGACTACCACCCTGTTAACTAGATCATAGCACTGAGTGCCAAGTCCAGGCATTTCTGGAACAGCCCACTTGTTTTATTTGCCTAAGTATTAGCATTGCTTTGGTTCAACAACAGAATGATTGTCATAATATTTTGCATCTTTATAAATCATTCAGTCTATTCAAGGATTTGCTGTTCTAACATCAAATCAACAAAGCCTTCACATTATTGCCACTTTTCTGGTTCTGCCTGATGTATTTTTCAGAGTAAGGGCCACTTTTATTTACTTTGTTTTTTTTAATCACTCCAGAGGCAATGCCAGCATTAAACACACAATGGAAATGTTTTATGAATGGGAAAACTGTATGTTAAAATTTCTGTTAAAACAATCAGTGCAGAAGGCAGGCTATCAGACTACCTTCCCTTCTATGCAGCAACAAAATCAGAATATTTTTGAGTTGTAGGGCTGGAAGAAAAATCAGGAAGTCAGGATGATGTAAATACCAGATCATGTGCATCATTCCTTGTAATGTGGCTGGACATACAACAAGGTCATTGCCAAAGGCAGGGCCAAGAAGAATGCATATTCCAGGGATGGGTCATGTTGGAATTCTCTGGCTTTGTGCCCAGTGGCTGCAGGCACACTGTTACCATCACCAGACACGCATCTGTCACAGGAGGGGGAGTGCCAATGTTTTAGCTGTCAAACACAATCCTATGGCACTACCTGGCATTGGCAGAGCCCTGGGGAATGGGAATCAAAGAATCACGGAATCACTAGGTTGGAAGAGACCTTCAAGATCATCAAATCCAACCCATACCCTAGGACCTCAACTAAACCATGGCACTGAGTGCCACATCCAGTCCTTTTTTAAACATATCCAGGGATGGTGACTCCACCACCTTGCCCGGCAGACAGTTCCAGTACTTAATCACTCTTTCCATAAAAAACTTTTTCCTAATATCCAACCTATATTTCCCTTGTTGCAGCTTGAGACTGTGACCTCTGGTTCTGTCAGTTGCTGTCTGGAGAAAGAGACCAAACCCCACCTGGCTTCAACCACCTTTCAGGAAGTTGTAGGGAGTGACAAGGTCACTCCTGAGTCTCCTTTTCTCCAGGCTAAACACCCCCAGCTCCCTCAGTTGTTCCTCACAGGGTTTGTGTTCCAAGCCCCTCACCAGCCTTGTTGCCTCCTCTGGACAAACTCAAGCATCTCAGTGTCCTTCCCAAACTGAGGGGCCCAGAACTGGACGCAGCACTCAAGGTGTGGCCTCGCCAGTGCTGAGTACAGGGGAAGGTGACCTCCCTGCTCCTGCTGGCCACACCATTCCTGACACAGGCCAGGATGCTCTCGGCCTTCTTGGCCCCCAGGGCACACTGCTGGCTCATGTTCAGCTGCTGTCAATCGGTGCCCCCAGGTCCCTTTCTGCCTGGGCACTGTCCAGCCACACCATCCCCAGCCTATAACACTGCAGGGTTATTGTGGCCAAAATGTAGGACTCGGCACTTGGATTTATTAGCCTTCATCTTTTTGGACTCTGCCCATCCATCCAACCATTCCAGATCTCTCTGCAGAGCCCTCCTACCTTCCGACAGATCGACACACGCTCCTAGCTTAGTGTTGTCTGCAAATTTACTAATGAAACACTCAATACCCTCATCCATGTCGTCAGTAAAAATATTGAACAGAACTGGCATAGAGTTCAAAATTTCACCCCTATCACAGCAAATTAAGCTGATAGCTCTTGCATAACTACATGGAAAACAACTTGATAATTTTATCCTGAGTTTTAACTCAGGATGAATATCAATTCCATATTTCCTCCTCAGCCTTCTCTCTGTGACACTAGATAATTCCTGCTCCTCCTCCACCAGGAGGGTGGAACCCTGAATCAGTCCAGCACTCCAGCTGAGGCCCCAGTAAAACAAAATAGCAGTCTATTTTGTCCTTACACAACACCGATATGAATACAGCCCAAAGTGGCAAGTTCCCTTTTTTGCAACCACATTACCCATCCATTCATATTCCTATGTGATCCACCCCAAATGCCAGATGCTTTTCTTCAGTGCTATAGCGAAATTATTCCCTGCTTGTACCTGTGTTTTCATTGTCTTTCCTGCTGAATTTCATCTTACTGCTCTTACATTGAGTTTTGATCTTATCCCCCCAGAGTATGTGCCACCTCGGACAGCCTTCTCTTTCATTCTTTTAAGTGTTATGTTTGCCTTTCTCCAGTCCCATGGCTCCTTGCCTATCCTCTTACAGACCTGCATGAAAATGAAGAGGAACACACCTCAAGTCTGACACAGGTTTAGCCCCTGGTTCATGCCCTTGGCCAGGCTGTAAACCCCAAGAACACCTAAGGATGCATGGGACAAGCCAAGCTGTGTGAGTCAGTCCCTAGTGAACTCGTTGCACAGGCTGGAGCAAGTACACCAACCACTGGCAGGGGGTCCTTCATGGTCCAGCACATAATCCCATGTGTGCCAGTCCAAAAGGTTCAAAGCTAAGGCTTGTTCCTTGAGATACCAGGATACAGTGGATGACAGGCTCTGAGGGCACTCTTCCTACTTCATCTCATTATTACTAATTTTAAAGAACAAGCCAAATGTAGACTCAAGACCTGTGTGGTGCCACTTGAGGCTGTACCCGAAAATAGTAAAATGCTTGAAGAAGTTTATACTCACATCAGAGGCTCCCATGATTTGGGCTTAATGAAGATAGCAATGGGATAGAGTTGTGCAACTTGTAGTCGTTTGATAGCATTTCCTGACACATCAAGTATACAGTGCTTGCCCTGTTGGAAACAGATGAGCATGTGTTTATTTTTGCAGACTTTGCTGCAGATCAGCCAAAAGATAGGAAGCAAATCTGTGACACAGTGCCCTGGAAAGGGGCCATTACTGGCACACCAGCGAAGGGGTAGCCCAGGGTATGCGCTCCTCTATGCTGCATTCTTTCCTTTGCTTTGATGCCAGTATGAATATACACTGGTGATACAGGAACAAACTTGGGATTTATTTTTTACTGGGATGAAATTTGCAGGGCCAGGAGGATTTTCTTGAGATGAGCAAAATCAGTTCATAAAAGCAATAGGATGTCCACATTCTAAGTGATTTATTCAGTTCTTGTTTATGTCAAAGTGTCACCTGAGGAAAATAATTTAATCTTTCTGATTAAACAATTAAACAATTAAACAATAATTTGTTCTTTTGCCTCTGTGAAAGTGATTTAGTTTATCTACCTGTCTTACAGAGGGAAGGGTAGAGGTTGTTTCCAGGAGTACTTGAGGTGTTAGAACCCTGAAACCACGGCACTGCATCCAGCTAAAGACAGTGCCAAGGATGATGTCATTCAAAGTCAGAGACTCCACTTGTGGAGACATTATAAAGCCTATAAATATTAGGATGTCATTTTGCAGCTATTTTATACTTTTGGCAGAGAATCATGTCTGAGACACAATGTGAAAACAACGCAGATCATGTTGCACCAGCAATAAAACTACTGTCAACCTACCCTTTCTGCCACAAATCTCACAGACTGGACACTAGTTCCATACAAATTATCATTGTACTGCCCAGCTTCTATAAATTTGTGCTCTTGAATATCTTTTTCCATTTGATCTCTTGAAATGACAAAATGATAATCTCTCCCATCCACTTCATAGTCACGCTTTGGCCGTGTGGTATCTGCATGAAACAAAAACCAGAAGACATATAAGTCTGCAAAAATATTTAGTGTAAAAATTAAGCGTGAAAAATGCAAATGGTTTACTCAGTGGGCAATGCTGGGTCTGCTCTAAGTGATGACACTTCACATCTGAGAGCAAATCTCTGGCTACTACATATTGTTTTTAATACTCCATACTCCATATTGTTTTTAATGGAGCTAAGCCAATAAAGCTGTCTTTTTGTAGTAATACCTTCTGATGTTTACCTCCAATCAATACAGGCTAAAATAAAATAAGGGTTTACCAGAATTCCACTTTTTTTTTCAGCAGAATTACACACAAACCTCAAATATAAAATAAATTTCATATTTTAAACTTAATGTTATTATAGTGATAAAATTAATTGTGATCTTACCAACTCAATTTAGCCTTATTTATAAGCCTGAACCTGTTCTGATCTCTAGTACTTTTAAGTTAGTTTATTGCTACAACCATTTACAATGAAGTACGACCGCAATTAGGCCCTCGAATAAACAGCAAGCTCTAATTATCCAAGATATAAATATTCTGTTTAATTCAGGGTCTAATATTGCCTTCTGATTCAACAGTCTATATCTCACACAAACCACAGATAATTCTGTATATTTACTGGTGGATGCTGTGCAATTGAGTTGAAACTTTTACATTTTACTAGAATTTCAAACTTTTCAGATTTTTTTTCCCAGATGTTCACAACCTTTAAATATTTTTTTTAATTTATTTGTTCTTTTCGCCTTTACTGTCTGATGAAAAAAATGACTTTTGAGAAACACAACTGTACATAATCATGGATGCTGCTTTTGTAGAAATTTACTTAATGTGTGTCACCAACGGAAATCATTCACTCAGCTGCAGAACTAGGAGCAGAATCATACTTACGTGGTACACATGACCCAAACTTATCAGGGAATTCAGATATCAAATCATCATTGATCCGATCTTTCATAGGACCCAGAATAATAACCGGCCTGGTGTAATTAACTGAAAAACAAAAGGATCACATTTTGATGGTCTTACCACAATAACAAATAAATGCACCCAAATATCACTAACCAGAGTTGTTGTCTTTATGTATGAAGTGAAAATTTAGGTGCACATTTTATTGATGAATATTTTATTTATTGACATGCAAAAGGGAATCGAATGAGTACAACTGCAGAGCTCTGTGATGGTCCATGCACAAGTCAAATGACTATGCAGAAGCATAGATACATTTGCTATCATTCAACAAGGCCATTCCCAAATGCTTGCAGATGGACTCTTCCATGATGTATCGAAAGGCTATTGTAGTCTTTTTTTCACTTCAAGTTACATGGGTGCATACCCCATTAAACCAGAAGGATGTGCTCCCATTTTAAGTTGCCTTTCCATGTGTTTGTCTGCCCTGGACAGTGGCACATATCACATGAGAAGCAAAATAGTAAAGGCTTTCCATGTGACAATATTGCAGTAAATCTAGAAAATCTACATCAATATTTTGTAGGCTGATTAATTTTCTGTATTGGTGAAGTCCATGAGAATGTACTGGGGAGAAGAGTCCCGGGAATGTTAAGAAGTGGTGGCTTCCAAGGAATACCATAAAATCAGGATTTTTTTCATGTGAAAATAGACTGAGTGTCCAAGAAAATTAAGCCACAGTGAATTTGGGACTGGCAGAGCAAGGCTTACTGCTCTGCTGGCTCCCAAACTCTGAAATGAAAAACATAAGGAAGAGTGATAAAAAAGATGAAACTTACTTTCCTGTCTTGTGACAGGTTCATAAGAAAGGATGAAGTCCTCTTGGCCTCCTGATGAAAGAAGAAAGAGAAGAGATTGAAGCTGATGAGTAACATGTCAGGTACTTAAGTTTGATAAAATGCTTCACATAGAGACAGACCAGGTTCAACACGTCTATCTTGATAAGCCTCTCACCTGAACCATTCCAAGTCCATTATAACTTCCAGGTATGGACACAGTTTTTTTTCTTCCCTATCCTCCCCTTCCATGTGTTTCAATTCTATTTACTTAAGTTGGACTTTTTTATTGATGGGCAACATACCATTATTTGTGATTTGATAGAAGGCTGTTTATAAGGGTAGTGCAGCAATTTAAGATGGAATGTTTTTCCTGTTGTTAAGGCCCTAACATGTTGCTGCAGAGTAAATCAACAGGCTACCTAGACAGAACAATTTTTATGTACAGAATACATACTTATTTTTTGGTTGATTGTCCTTCAGTGCATAGCTTCCACAGTCTATTGCATACACAGTCTAACATCTAGCTGTGAGCTATTTTCTGATCCTTATCCTTTCTCTGAACACAAATCACAGACTCACAGAATGGTTGGAGCTAAAAGGGACTTTCAACTTCTGGAGACCATCTAGTCCAATGCCCCCTACTAAAGCACCTAGAAAAGGTTGTACAAGATCATATTTAGGCAGGTTTTTAATTTCTTCAGCAAAGGTCTTGCAGTACTGTATTGTATACATTTGTCCTCCCTATGCCCTTTTAGGACAGTGCTGTTTCCTCATGATGATATTTAGGGGACTAAAGCAGAGGAATTTGCCATGAGAAACAAATGGCACTATATGGACCATGACTTGGGTGCAGGTGTGCAGTCCTGATGCACTGCTGTTCTCCCATCCAAGGGAGTGAAAGAGGAGAGGAAGGAGGATTCTTCACCAAAAGCATGAGAAATTCCTGCTCATTTCTCTTTCTGGGTTACTGTCACATACTTGGTACCACATGAGAGCTCTGGCAGGTTCTAAATAAAAATTAGCAAAGCTTTAAATGATGACTTTATTTTTGCTCAGTTTAGGGTTTGTCTTTGAGTAGATCAATAGATGGAATTCTGCAACTAATTGGGATACTAGAGAAGGAGTATCATAAAGCATACCAGTGCTTTATAAAATACACAGGGTTGCCTTCATTTCATATGCTTGCATGCACGTGAGCCTGTGTTATATTATTCTGGTAGGCTCCTGCCAAACCAAAGTGTGCACATACAAGGGAAGAGTGCTGCCTTGCCTGATGGAAATACATGTAGGATTTAGAGGCAGGTACACCTCACCCAGAAGTAGCCTGCCTGCTGTCTGAGTTGCCCTTGAACACTGACTGTATTAACAAACTTTGTGTTGGATGCAATGCTTAGCTCCCAAGAAGTACAACATTATTTATGGATAAATCTTAAGCTGACTCCCACTCCATGAATCTGCTACATTCATAGATTTTTTTGTGTGTGATACAGTACCTAGGCAGCAATGACAAATGTGTAAGAGAGGTCTTCAAGTAAAAATCATGTAATTATTGACAATGACAGAAACAGCAATAAAAAACTGTACTGATATGTTAGGAGAGAGGGAGAACTGACAGGACTCACTCCTGCCTAGCAATGGTGCTGAAACAGCAGAGAACATAATTCTTAATAAAAGGAAGATATTATAAAGCATTTGAGGATAAAACCACATAACATATGAGGAGTGTGGACAAAAGATTTTCTTTTCTGTTTCCAAATGTTTGATATTGTAATCACTTTTCTTTGGCTTTTTGCAAAGTTGGAAACCTAGAATTATTGTTACCTTAGGTTTTATGCATCACATATATTGGTTTCCCATAAGGTTCTCAGTAAGTTTTAGAGGAGATGTGCAAGTCATGATGTCTCATTTCTCTGGAGATGAAAAAAATCCACTCTCTTAAGTCAACTAGGATGCTCCTGCACTCTCTGTCCTCTACTGCACAGGAGCCAAGGCTATATTTTTCAAAAGCCTCAGAAAGTCAGTCATAGCATGGGTGATGAAGCCATCACATACCAACCAAATAGTGAGGAACCTGTTTGTACAAATGCCATCTTAAACTTGGTACTTGTTTCAACAGCAAACAGATCCACAGCAGGAGTTTCATTTCACTAATTTCAGAAAACTGAGGCTTGAATCCTTATGTCAAGCTAGTCCCTAGATACATTTTGGAGCCAATGGCTGCCGACAAATAGATAAGTGCTTATTATGAAAGACATGAGTCATCTGAATTATTTTACATGTCTACTTTGTGAGGAGAGAAAAAGTCAGAAGGGTGAATTTGTCTCCGTTGTCCCCAAACAGCATTTAAACAGCAAAGCCAGATGCAGACATCTGCAGTTAAACAGCAGAATCTCATGGGAGTGACAGTGTCAATAGCAATTGGAGGCAAATAGATAAAACTCTGAAAATATTGTTCTTTTTTATTTTTTTTCCTTTCTGTAGACTAATACTTGGCTTTGGCACAGATTTATAACCAGCACTGATAAGCCAGCACAGATTTTACTTTCTTTTTAACCCATCTCTGGCAGACATGTCCCTATGCTAAAGTTTTTGGTACATCCACAGTCTCTGAAGGGTATGGGCTAGGGAGAAAAACGAGCCTGTTTTATAGATGTCTTGTGAATCTGTGGCCAGGCTGAAGGCAAAGAAAAATTCTCCAGCCCACTAGAATTGTGCTGAAGTTTAAGCCATTGGAAAATGTTGCAGTAAGCATGGAGAAACTTTGAGGCTGACTGTGATGCACAAAAACTTAACGACAGACATCTTCCTGAGGTAAGGATCTGCAGCCCTCACTTCCAGACTCAGCACAGGAGTGTGACTGGGGAAAAAGCTGCACCATTTCCACTGTTTTTCTTTTCTGGAGAAAGGACTAAAGAAGCTCAAATTTCCAAGTGAATTAAGTTCTGCCATGTACTGTCCAGACAAAATCCTGTATGTCCTCAGAGGCTGTTTTAGGATATTTACCATCCTAGATCTCTTTAATGATCTCCACTTGGTCAGTACTGCAAGTAGTCCATAAAGTATTAAGTGTAATGAAGAGCTCTAGAGCCAATCAATCAGATTGCTCTAACCTTGTGATGGCTTTGAGGTGGAAGATACAGTGTGAAATCCATCAGGACACAGGCTCTTATCATTTGCCTAAGCCTCATTTAATGCCCACATTAACAGCTTAATTAGCACAGGTTAGCTGTATTGATCTGGAAAATCTTTGTGACATTTAACAGATAAAACAAAAAGAGAGAAAAAAAAAACCTTTCTGTAGGATTTTGGTATGTTCCCCTGTTCTTCAGTAAAATCCCATTAAGTCAAAAAGGGAAGAAAAGAAATACTATAAAGGAATGGAAGACAAAAAGGGAAAGTTTCCTAAATGTAATAAGCTTATGGGTAAAATTATTGAAGAGGTTTCACTTTCTCTGGACCACTCCCTGCTTCCCTTTGCTCTTGGTTTGCCTGTTGGTGTTTTCTCATGTTTGGGAATAGAAGAATAACCCGGAGTTTGTTACAACACATAACCTCTATAAACTGGGCAGCAAGGTCCTGTGCTGACAGATAAATTTCATAAGGAGTATTAATTTAATCCTTTTAAGGGATGTTATAGAGTTTCAGATGGGTAGCTCTGAAATGGAGTTAGTGAGATGCCTCTGTTTTTCCTTTCTGATTAGAAGGCAGAGAGCCCGTGAAAGGCAAAAACCCAGTTTCATTGCAGACCTGGTAGATATCAGGCATTTTTCATGCAAACCATAAAAAGGCCTCATTTCCTACTGCCTTGCCAGAGCATCCAGGGCTTCCACTGGTCTGGTGTACCTGCACCCATCATGTGGGTAATGGGGTGGGAGAGCTGCTGTGACCTGCCATGGGGCAGCCTCCATGTAAACACCCTCCCTAATCCAGCAACCTATGCAGTGGAAATCCATAGATTTTGGCACCCTATTAATACCTACAAATGAAAAAATCTGAAAAGACATGTAAGTAGATGAATTAAAAAAAATAGTAGTAATAAAGACAGCTAGAAGTTATTTATGGTTTTAAAAAAATCAAAGAGAAATTTTGGGTTCATTAAAATGGTTGGACTACTGGTGGTGGTTCCCATCAATACACATGTGAAATTCCTTTAAATGAGACAAATAATTTAATTTTCCAGCTCTTGTCTGAATTTTGTTGCTCACCTGGATTTAAACTCAAAGAAGGCTTATTTTACTGCCACCATCCATTTAGGTTTTGGTATAATGTATTAATTGCCTGAGTTGTATTTGCAAGATCTTGGTGAAATCAATTTTTTGGTTTTATTCTTTTGCACAGGCTGCATTGACAATATATCTGCCTCTATTTGGTTGAAAATCCCTTTGCTGGGGCCCTATTGATGTGAACACATAATTTTTGGAAATTTATTGATAGCTATGAAAGGCTGGAAATCCAATATGTACAATGACCATCAGTAGTCTGAGCATGAACTTAATACTGAGAAGTTGTCTATGGGCAAAGATCAATACAGCTGTGTGGGTATAAAATGAGACTTCAGTACTTGTGGCAGTATGCCAGGCATTTGAGTATGCCTGAATAATACAGTAATTATGGGAGCCAATGCAAGTGTCCTTATTAATCAATAACCTATTGTAATAATCAAGACTCCTATAACCTTGTTATGAATCTTCAAATTTCACAGGAAGAGTGACTTGCTGATTTGCTGACAGAAATTAAAAGGTTTTTTTCCTACCACTTTTCCTTATTTTTAACTTTTAGATATGTATTGCCTCTCTAGGTAAGTGGTGCAATCACAACCAGTTATGCAATTAGACTGAGCAGATGTGACAGTGTGTGTGTAATTTTGATGACAGCTGTAAAAACCTTTACTGAACTATGTGTAAGAGTGTTACAACACATATGCAGAGAGACTTGAAATTCTTGCCCATTATGAAAATCATGCCTCACAAAATAAAAACTGATGAGTCCATGGTAAAAAAATCTGTCTTTACAAGCTTGATTTGAAAAAGAAATCAAAACATTTTAAGTTACAGAGCTCAAAATAAACTTTGAATCATGGTTTAATTAACTGGTCCAGGGATAAGTAAAAACTGGCTGTATGTGTCTTTGTCACAAAAAGAACAACTTTCTGCTAGACCAGGACTTTATACATCACTCTGCAAACTTGGCTTTACTGCTGAGAACAGGAACAAATAAACGAACATAGACTTCATAAGAGTGTGGCTGTATGATTCAGCAGCAGCTGTGTAGCAACTCATCCCCTTCACGATCAAGCCAGCATTTGTTCCTGGCCCCAAAATACTATTATTTATAAAGGGTTAGATTTTACTCTCAAATGTGTCTGTGGTTTGCCCTGAAATTAATAGAGCTGAAGGTTATCTGTTGGGAGAAAGAATATCCCACTGTTGTCTCCAGCCCTATTTTTTAATAACAAACCAAGTGTTAATGGCACTGGCATGAACACTGGTTTACTTTACCTACCATAAATCTGGTTTACCTTTTGCAACTTCTTTTTGCTTAGAAGTGGTCAAAGAATTTTCTCTTCAGACCACATTGGAGGATTTTCAATTATATTTTTGAAATAAAAAATATCTGGCTTCTCTTTTTTTAACCCTGGAGATATAAGCAATAGTTCAACTAAATACTCTAAGCAATAATAATACAGCTATATTTTAAAGCAATGTATGTTCCTAAAAAATAATGAACACATCAGAATATGTCCTACAAAAAGCCAATTGATTTGTAACCCCCTGATTCCTCACTGTCCAGGTCACAGCCTGAACATTTCTCAGAATCCTTCAATATTGCTGGTTTGGAATGGTTCTAGGAATGATCAAGTAGTACAGGTTTTGACACTAGCTAGTTTTTGCTAAATGGTCATTATGAGAAGCAAAAGTTAGAGAAATATGTTAAAACAATTGCCAGAGACCCACTAGAAAAAATGCAGAACACCTCACTCTGGACTCCAACTGGCCTGTTTTAATAGGGATATATAAGAAGGACTGCAGGAGAACACCTTGCATTTGCCAGTCATTTCTTACCCACACACATTTTCTTTGTTCTGGCCAAGAATTGATAATTTCATGGAATCACAGAAGGATAGAATCATTTAGGTTGGACAAAATAAGTCCAACTCTGGCAAGTCACACTAAACCATGTCCCTGAGCATGTCTTTTTTAAATGCCTCTAGAGATGATAAATTAACCACGTCCATGGGTAGCCTGCTCCAATGCCTGATAACATTTTCAGTGGAGAAATTCTGTCTACTATCTAATCTAAATATTCCCTGGTGCAACTTGAAGCCATTTCTTCTTCCTGTTGCTTGTTACTTGGGAGAAGAGACCTCACCACAACTTCTTTTCATCTGTTCCTCACCAGTTTTGTGCTCCAGGCCCTTACTAAGCTCCACTGTCCTTCTCTGGATGTGCTCCAGCCCCTCAATGTCTCTCCTGCAGTGAGGGGCCCAGAACTGAACGCAGGATTTGAGGTGAGACCTCACCAGTGCTGAGTACAGGGGGCAATCCCTGCCCTGGTCACATTATTGTTGGCCACAGCATTGCTGATCCAGGCCAGGATGCCATTGGCCTTCTTGGTCACCTGGGCACTCTGCTGGCTCACATTCAGCTGTTGCTGACCAGGATCCTTAGATCCTTTTCCACCAGGCAGCTTTTCAGCCAGCCACTCTGCCCCAGCTTGCCACAGCTCAGAAAGCAGTGGGGCAGGCAACCCTTTTCTTCCTGCTAATTTTCTGGGGAAAGAGAAAAGGAAAAAGGCACTCTGCATGTCACCAGCGTGCTCCATGTCACCAGTGCATAGATCAAGGGCTAGATGAGTTTCCAAGTCAACAGACGTGGTGTCCTTGCAAAATAACTTGCACTGCCTCACCTTGAACACACAGACTCTCCTCAAAGTGACACTACATCACACTGAGAAACAACTCTGCCATGTGGTGGGGTGCAAATGCAGTTAATACAGACTTGATTCTGTGGCAGTGGCTGATGCTGAGCTCCATTCCCAGCTACCCAGAGGCAAACAAGAACAGGAGAAATAGTAACTGCATGCTGACTTCTGCCAGGAATGTTACCTTGGGCACTAATTTTTTTTTTTTTTTCCCTTCATTAGGAATAAATAATTCAGGAAGTAGTGAGGAAATCTCCGAGGAATATGTCTGGTAAGTATTTTTCCCACATCAGAAATGTTGATAAGCTTTTACAGTGTAGCAACCTTTCTCAACAGTCCCACAAAGTGAGAACTGTAGTGCAAAGAGAACTTCTTTGACAAGCCTCATCTCTTTTATCTCCATCCCTCACAATTTGTTGATTTCACTCTCTGACCACCTGCCTCTCACTCTCATCTGATTTTTCTTGGCTCCTGACACATAATTTTTCTAGGGGAGATTTGCTGCGATGAGCTGTGCAATGGGATGTCAACACACCAGATCTCAGATTTCTTTGCCTGAAGATTCAAAGACTAATCATATGGACCTGAGAGGGCTTTAATTTTCCACAGGAGATATGCTGATGGAAAGGCCAGGTGGAAATTGTACACAGTCAGGTTAGACTTCAGGTGCCACCATGGCCATCTGAAACAGTAATTTCCATCTGGGAACCACAGCTGCTAATTTGTCAGAGTCATGCCTTCAAATATCATGTTAGCACATACCAATGAACCCTTAGCAAATTAAATCAGGCCCTTTGGGCACCAGGCTCTGTATTTTAAAGCCTCTTTCATTTGACATAATCTAAGATGGGTTTCCTCTGCTTCTTAATGGCACAGCTATCTTGTAGGCAGAAAAGAAATCCAAGAAATCTCTGCCAGCATCTTCTCCACCAGGCAGAAGTTGTTGGAAATACCAGTAATGTGTGGGAAAATCCAGCCAACAGGATGCTGCTAGAGTAAGACCAGAGCTTGTGCAGATGGAAACTGCTCTAGAGGAGAGTGGCTGCCATGGGCAGCTGTTATTCCAACACTACTTTTTCTTCCAAGTATCCATGTTCCAGCTAACTTTCCCAAATTGTTTCTGTTACCATTCTTGCACCTCAAAAAACACACTTTATTTTAAGCTATTACACAACCAATGAAGGACTGTCTACCTGGCCTCTCTGATGATCAAATTTGGTAATAGGCTTTTGTGGGCATGCCCCAAATATTTGGCTGCAACTGGGCACTCCTATGAAGGTTGCTGTTTGAGACAGTTCATCAATCCAGATTCTCCTCTGGGCTTTTACCCTGAGCTCTCCCTGAAATATACAGGTCTGGATGAGATTTGACTTGTGCAAACTTTTGAAAATTTAACCCTTTAATTAATTTCTGGTTGTAATGTCAGTTGGGAGAAAGAGCATCTTATATCTCAATATAAATATAATTAAAAATAAAGTCTGCCTTTCCTCCCAAGTAGAGGGCACATTAAAAATAAAACAGTTCAGAATTGGATCTTGGCAATTCAAGAGAGCCTACCATTTTCTTGTGACTCTGGCAATTGCTTTCCAAGGAAAACTTTTCAATACAAGAGAATACAAAGTAATTTACCATTTCTGAATAGGAGAAGGTTAGCTGTTTTGCTGAAACAAACCAGTGTTTATCAACAGAGTTCAACTGCTATGTTATATCAGGAGTAGTAAACATGAGGCATGATACCATTGATTACCTGAATGTATGTGGGTGCTTTGCACAAGTGCTGAGTGACTGGTGGAAAACTTGATTTGTTAAGCAAATGGCTTGAATAAATGAAACAACTGAGTGATCTAGCAAGCACTCTGTCTTTTAGTTATCTTTTATTACATTTGTAGTCATTTATTTAATGCCTTGTGTTTTTTTCTGTTTTTCAGAACATCCAAAATATAGTGATATTTGTTAAATTTATAGGCATTACTAAGAATTACCCAGAACATACAATCTGCCTCTTGGTTATATGATCATATGGAGTCTGTAAATCCCAGCAAATCAGAATGCAGGGTTGGGACCCCCACCCACACGATATCAGTAACATTCTGTGGCAGTGCCTAAGCAATGAAGGTCAATCTTGCCTTTTTATAAGACTGCAGTATGAATTAGGAAAACTGTATTGTCAAAACTAAGGGCTCAATAACATTTCTGGGACTGTTTCTTAGCCATCCATACAGGCATGCAGAAATGCAAGTAAAAATTGTGACCTTGTAAAAAGGATGCCTCTTACAGATTTGACTATGGCTGTGCAGTAACTTTGCTCTTAAAAGATCATCAAGAAACTTCTCCCACTTCCACTGAAATAAACTTTTGTCACTAAATGAAATAATCCTGACTTGCATAGGCTACCCAAATCCAGGTTTAGTTTTATGTCCCTAATACATCACAAGTAACAACCTTTCTCCCCTCTCTTATAAAGTTTGCCAGTTTTCTTTTATAGCTTTGTACTCAAGACATGGTCATAAATTTGAATTCCAAGCCATTTGCTCCAGTGATCTTTTTAACATCAACAAAAGAGTAGCAAGGAGAGAAACAAAATAAAAGAAACAAAACAAGCAATGCAAAATAAAAGGACTCTAATGAAAGCAGTAACTTACTGTAGCTACTTTCACTATCGCTGGCATTAGAAGAAACATGTTCTGCAAGAACAGTACAGCAAATTAAAGAACATAACCAAGCACCACAGAGCTGCAGAAACTTAAAAGAACCGCCACAGTCATGCAAAGTTAGTTATGCAGAGCAGAAATCAAAGCTGTGCACTGACATCACCTGAAAGTGCTCAGATATTTTACAGAGGTAGAATGAACGCTTTCTCTCTTGTGGCATTTCAGAAAGAGACTGTGTTAGCTACTGGTATGTGGCATAGCAAAACCATGTCTTTTTGTGATAGACAGTAAATGACATCTCTGATAACTCCATTTCAATGTATATTATAGTCAACTTGATCTTACTCAATGTCTTGAGCAATTTATTGACATCCAAGTGTCTGCACTATCAAAGATGTGCATCACTAATGCATTGAAACTATTCCTGCTAAACTTCTAGCCTGTGTCTGTCTTTAATCACTGTGCACTATCCCACAGGATTGTGCACAGTGATTAACAGATTAACATGAAAGTTATTTTGGTATGAAATATTGTAACTGTATCTAATCTATCCTGTCCAAAAGAGGAAATAAAAAATAAAGAAGACAAAGCCAATGAAAACACTAAGAAAAAAAACCTAAGAAGTCTTTTTCCAGAAATTGTCTAGCCTCAGGATTTGAGCTGGAGTTTGAAAACCTTTAGCAGACCAGTCTGGATGGGTGAACAGGAATAGAAGAACTAACATGATGGGTCAATTTTGTGTTTTTTCAAGTCAGGTGTCCTATTTCTATTATCATATTATTAAAAATAATTCCAAAACTGTTGTCAGCAGACTATTTATGGACAGTAAGACCAACTCCAGGAAGTCTGCAGGACCACACTAGTTTTTCTGGTAGAAATGCTGATTTCTACCTGAAAGATCATTTGTCAGTTGGAACTTTTCAGCTGGTTCAGGACATTTAGAAGTCAATGGCATAATGACTGTACATCTAGGAGCACCTTGGGTTAATGAGAAAGACAGAAACAGTGCCAAAATTCTCTGCAAGGTGCTGCCTTCCCTCCATGTACCAATCTAATGCCTTAGGGTTCATAGATTGGGAATGAAGGGGCTACTGGAGCAGCAAAAATGAGAAGGAATGATATCTATAAAAACAGTAATAGAAAACCTTGATCTTGGACTTAGGAAGAAACATAAAATTCAACTTATATTTTGAAGAAAACATAGAAGAACAAGAAGCAGCATAATGACTTTCAGACATTTTTGTAGCAAGTTAACAAGGGTTATCTCAAAATAATGTGCTACACAGGACCCTGAACAACTTTATTTAAAAATAAAAAACAACCCTTATAGTAAGAACTGTCATTAAAAAGCATATCTGAGTTGAAAATTAACAAAATTTGGATTAATGGGACTGTCTAGAGGCATACCAGTAATTTAAAACTAGGTGCAATATTATACAGGCATTACAGCCTATACAATACCTCAGCTCTACTTTGTTCCATATCAATTTGCAGAATTCAGATAACTTTCAAATGGTTGGATGTTATAGACAATTCTCTTTGTAAGGACACATATTCACTAAGGTTATGCGATCTGAAGTATTTTACTTTTCTCTAGCAGGGAAAGATCTGCATTTGTTACTAATGAGCTGCTATGACACTTAAATGATCACAGAATGGTTAAAATTCAGGTGGCAGTGACATTTGCTGTCTATCACTGGCAAAACCAGTCTTGCAGAACTGTTCTTCTTTGTACAAGAGATAAAGCTTTCATCTTTAAATTGTGAGCCACTGCATGGCATTAAGTTAAACCATTAAAATGTTCCTTCCACAATTCAGTCAGAAACAGAATAATCTCCAAAATTGTGTGCATGGATGTGCATTCCTGCAATTAAAAAGCACATACAAAACAGTAGGCAATGCAGCATTAACACACATTTTGTTCCAATTACTTGGTGCTTAAGAAAAGGAAAAATAACTGAAGAACAAGTAGCCAAATGCATGCAAGTGGCGTTTTGTTTACATTAATTAGCTCTGGATACAGAATTTAATGTAGCTATATATGTAGAAGTCAGCAGCAAATATTTAATCCTATAGTTTTTCAGGTTCACATTTTGAGGAAGAAAAATTGCTTCTGAGCAATTATCTGACACGTTATGTACTCTGTAATGCCAAGTCTTGAGACAGGATTGCTGCATCAGAAAATAAATTGATTAAGGTTGTGTGACAGAAATAGGTTGGTAATGGTGCAAAGAGGTCCAAAATTAGCTTTGGAGAATGCATGATCTTCTCTAGCCTGCAAATGACTTCTTCCATTAATAACAAATAGTAATCTAAAAATTCAGCAAAGTAACAAACACTCCCATGCAAAAAGCTGAAAATGCAGAAGCAACAGCATAAACTAATTTTCTATTGATCTCTTCAGGATGTGATCATGTTAAATGTTTAATTTTCCCTTTAGATGGAGAGGGAAGGGTTGTTGCTGAAAAGAACAGTCTAGGCAGCAAAACGCATTCTAGGTATGCTACTCTACAGAACTGCCATAATGGGAACAATAATATACTGTCAGAAACAAAAGGTGTTATTACAAAAGAAGTGAAAGTGTCTGCTTGATACACTGTATGTTATTTAATACCGTCATGCAGAACAGAACGATTGAAACATTTGTAATGCATTCACAGCTGGGTAACAAATAAAACTCTATCTTGTGCATGCTAGGAGTGGAGGGTCCTCAGAGAAGAAACAGAAGCCAAAACAAAACAAAACAAAAAAGGGTTTACAGTGACCATTCCTGGGAACTTACTCAGAGTCTTTGTTCCATAACCGTCGTCACCTAATCCGGGGATGTCCTGCACGGAAGTCCCCAGAGAGAGCAATGAGAAAGGAAGAACAGCCGCAGAAGAGGAAGGAAGAAGTCAGTGGAGTTGAAATGGATACTACCATGACTGACCATGTTGATTGAGCAATCTGGATCCCTGCCTTTTCTTTCTGAAACAAATTTAGACCTATATCCTATGGAAATTCAGCCAAAGAAGGAGGCAGTGACTGTGAAACGTGCCTTTTGGAGCTGTGAGGAAAAAGAAACAACCAGATAAATAAAGTTCCAGAAACTGTCCTCACCGAATAAATTTAGGACAGAATTATTAAAAAAAAAAAAAAAAAAAACAAATATTTGGGCTTGGAACTAGCAAATATTTTTAATAATGCTGGTTCCCATATAATTTAAGCAAGCAATAAATGCTTGTGATGGTACACATTCCAAGAACTAGTTTAGTTCTTTAAGCCGTTAATATGGTTGCTTCCCTTAATTGTTAAACTCTCAGTGAAGCTTCCCATGGAAATCAAGTTGATGAAAGTCAAAGGCAAAAAAAAAAAAGATTAGAATAGATATTTTAAGAACTAATTAGTTTAGTATTGTGAAAGAAATCACGTTTTCCTTATTTTGAGCCAATTCTGATCTGGGAATATTTCTGAGAGACAATTTTGGATTTATGACAGGTGTCACAACAACTTTGAGGAGCCGCATTTCCGCTTCCAAAAGTAAAGGTCACTGCTTTATTCTTCTGAAAATAGTATTTCCAGAGATGGAAGGAGAAGCTGGATCCAAACTGCAGTCATACATTGGTCACAGTAGTAATACCTCTCCTGCCTGCCTATGACAGATATTTGCCTAGATGTGTGGGATACTGGTACCATGCGTGTCACCCATTTGTTGTGCTGCTGCATGTGACATCATCTCCAAGAGGTTACTTACGTTCTGGATCACTTGTTTCCTGCTCACTCTGCTCCTTGCTCTTGTAGAATGGGAATTTTCGTGAAAAGATGAAGTTCTTTTTACGCTTGTCATTGAATGACTGTGAAGGAGAAAAGGCATGGGGCAAAAACAGGGACGTCTAATTGTTGTCACACTCATGCTGACAAAACAACTAGTTTGTAAAAGTGGAGAGAACTGTAGTGACCCAAATCAGTACAAACTCAGTGGCTGCAAAGTATCAGAGGCATGGTGAGGTCTGAAATTTGAAGGTAAAGCTCCTGAAGACTGGATCAATTTGACTCCAGAGGTCTGAAGTCACAATGTACAGCTCCTTACTTGGAAACTGTAGTGTTTGGCTTGTTTGGATGAAGGGCTACAGATGGTTCAGCATGTTTTGAGATCAAGCCATCCATCTTTAATCACAGCAAACTGTGCACAGAATTAATTAACTGTCTGAAAAGAATAGGCTATGACCTGGAAAGCAGAAGTCTTTGATTTTTAGTGTGTGGATTCAGCCCTGTGTCAATTAATACAAAAAATTCTTTACTGGTAGGTGCTGTTGATTTGATAATGTCTTATTTGGCTTCTTTATTGTCAATTTCTTACACGCATTTTAATGCTTCTTTTGGGCATAATGAAAAAAAACCAACTTTATTCTATTTTATAGATGTATATTTATGCATTAGGTTTCTCTGGATAAACTTTAAGTTCTATGTGATTTAGAAATTGAATTCTGCTAATAAGCAGTATTTCATTGCATGTTGAACAACATATTTTCCTGTAATTCTTCAAATGAGAAATTAATATAGAAGAAATTGGTGTTTCTTACATGATAAATCCTTTGACTTCATATATAGTTGCAAGGACTTACAGCACTATCCTGTGTAAAAACAGGATATACCTACTTGGAACATTTATTTCAGATACTAAATAAGGAAATAGGGTCTCTATAGAGTCAATTTAAAGAAGCTACCATTCTTGAGGGCACACAGAGCTGCAGACAGTGTGTCTGAAGTGATCTGTGCTGTCAGTCAGACAGTGACCTATAATGTCTCATACTAAACATAGACACAAGACTTAGCAAGTGATGACCTCCAAGACAGCAGAGACCTTCTTAAATAATTTAAAGGACCAATTTCATGTGTTTGTCATTGCTAAAATTTAATATAACTTGTATTTGGATCCAGTTCTGCAATGGAATATATTTTGAGTCTTAGAACAGAATTTATTTCCTTACATTTTGAAATAATGAAATAAAATGTGGTTTAAAATATGTATTTCTGAAAGATGGATACTGAAAATCTCTTGAAATAGTTAGATACTCATGTCACGAAAGTTTCATACCACTTTTACATTTCAAGCATATTTAAAGTTTAGTAACTGAAAACAAAGAAAAAATGCACATGTAGAATAAATGATCCATGAAAATCTCTCAGAGTATGTAAACATTCAATGTGAAATTAATGTGGAGGTCATGCACAAATAATCCAGATAGCATGCAAATTCAAAACAAAGCAAGTATGAAAGAAAGCCAGAGGGAAAAAAAAAAAAGCACATGAAAGATTAATCTATGGATGAAAGGAGGACTGACATGCACATTACATCACTTTAATGACCTAATGGATATAATTAAATTAAAATGTGTTTTCTGTGATAATTTCTTTTACTTTTCCAAAGAAAGGAATGTGGCACGTTAACATTTCTGTTTGTGAAAATGTTGTTTGTCATGATTTATCTGAGTTTGACATAGTAATGCTATTGGCATTACAAACTTTAAAAGGGAAAAAAAATATATATAAACAATAACACCTCAAAAAGCAAGGGGGTTTTAAAATCATAATAACTTCATTACAGCACTTTGGAATTCAAGAGAACGTTATCAAATAAATAAATAAATATGCTGTGTTTCACAGAAGATATATGAGAAATAACATATATATTATTACAATTTTTCCCCCAACAGTCTAGAGCAAAATCTTCAGAAAGTACATTTTTACCAGGAAAGCATATCTTATTTTCATACTTATACATGGTCTAACAGTATACACCAAATTAAACAGATATTTTATACTCTTACATAAACTTTTTCTCCTTTTGCAATTTCAAGTACTGGGTTGCTTATTTAATATTTCTCCACTTCAATTTGGATGATCAAAAACTGGCAATTCACAGCAGATGACTATCATGTGCGACTATGTCAGTATTTACACCAGTAAAACGCTTTCTTCCCAAAATAAAGCTGATCTAATTACATTAATATCCATAACCAAATATATTTATGAATGGGATAATATTTCTATAAATTAATCAATGTGTATATTCATGCTAATGAACATATGTACTAGCATGGTGTAGTCAGAGGGTTTATATTTTAAATAACAAAGAAACTGTAAAGTATTATAAAACATGAAAGTGTGTCTGACTCTGCAAACTTAGAGAAATAATTAGTCTTTAGTATTAACTGAATGAGCTTACCAAGTGTTTATTTCTTAAATTAAGTGCATGCTTCCTCACAATGACTCAAAGACAAGAGCCTTGACTTTGGTTTTGTATCCAATATAAACGGTATTAAAGTCAGGCTGATGGTCTCCACCTTAAGGATATGAAATCCTGCTGACAACCCCAAAAAGGCTTCTTACAGATACCAGGATTTATATGATTTACATGATTTATATCTCTAATGCACAGAGATAAGGGGTTTGGCAAAGAAAGAAGAGACTCACACTGAATAAAACCATATTTCTACTTCACACACCATATAAATTCATGATTTTGCTCCATTGGTGGAAGAGGAGAGACCAACACTGAGTGTGCATTTTCTTTTTTAAGAAGGGATCATGTGTATGAGGATTTGTGGCAAGGTTAAACTCCAAAACTCAGAGGTATATTTGAGAAATTTTGTTTCACTACAATGGGAACTTTGGACCTGTCAAATACTCTGGAGCCATAGGCTCCATATGCTTCTGGAAAGCTGTGAAATAGATGTAGGACAAATGAGACAGAGGTATTTGCTTCCATCTCTCCACCTGATACAAAAATGCATGCAACTGGAATTGCAATTGTGATAGCAAGCTTAGCCTGATTCAACAGCATTTATGCAGGCAGAGTTTCTGAAAGGCAGTGAAAAAGTGCCTGAAAATGGATTCCTTGTAAGTTGTAGGTTTTTTGCCATGATAATGTAAAAACCTGTAATGGCAAATAACTCAGGAATTTCAGTTGCAGTGAAAAACCTGTACAAGAAATTACTTGTATATGTCACTGCCATCACACAGATCACCACTAACCTGGGCAATGGCAGTAAGAGCCACTTTAAACAGACGAGTGCCTAAGACTAAAAGGCAAATGAAATTTTCATGTTGTTTGACAACAGAACAGTGACATCATTCACAGCACTTGATCTGTGATGGAAAAGAGTCTCTTCTCAGAAAAAAAAAGTGGAGGAAAGTGTTCACTTATGCCCTGAATCCTTGTTTGATACTACTTAAGCATAGACTGTGTTTTGCAGAAGCCAAGAAAAATGTGATGTGCACAGTGCACTGTTGCTTGACCAAGTATCCCCAGATGTCCCCAGTTATGTAAGACTGGGTTAAACACACCAACCTTGCCTGGTTGTGACAGACATTAAACCACTGTGTGTTTCTGCTTCTCAAGAATTCGCTTGGGTACTTCTTTGTGTCAACATCAGTTTTGTATTCTAAATGTTTTTCCCTAGGCTCAGCAGCCATATATATTACTCATCAGCTAATAGGGTAGTGGTTTTCAAGGGAAATTTTCATGTAACATTAAATAAACAATCCAATTTCAAAATTTTCTTCATAGTGGTAAACATCACAAAACCCAGTAATTTGATAGTTTTTATAGTTGCAATAGGCAACTATATTGTTGTTTACTTTGAGCTTCTTCCCAATTTTTTTTTCATAGTGTAGCTGATCCAACCCCTACTATTTAGTGCAGATGTGGTTTTGACACAGGTCGTCCTTTTTAGGTTTTGCAGAAGATCCCAATATGTTGGGGAAAGATTTTTTATGTTGCTCTAAGAAATCTATTTTCTCAAAGCCAATAAACTCCCAAGTGTTTCAGGAATGTTTTCTTTTGCCATTTCATTCAACAAATGCTAATCCTCAGTCATGAGTTGGGAACCAGTGTACAGGGACCACCTGAGGAAAGCTGTTCCAGAGTACTGGTTGTGAAATTCTTTTTTACAGGGTGTAGATAGATTTCATATACCATCTAATTTTAGGCGGTTTGAGCTCTGCTTTAACCTAGTTTTTATGTTATATGATTATGTCAGTTTTGTTCTCAGATTGGTCTAGCAGTGTATATGAGAAATTTTACTACTTCTCATCTGCAATGTGGTTTTCTTATTCTTCCTTTTTAATACCTAATTTTGGCTTAAATTAAATGAAAAACTTTCATGTACTCACCTTTCTACAAAAATCTACGCAATTTATTATCAACATTATGTCTCTGTAATTCTTTTCTCTATATTTAACTGACACTTTTTGTATTCGGGAGATTCATTTACTCATTTGAACACTGACTTTAATAATAGATTGGGCACTCAAACACTGTTAAATTCCTATATTTAAATATTTAAATTTTATAGATATCTATATTATATACTTTAAATCTCTCCCATCATACCAAAAATTTGCACTGACACCAGAAAGAAAACTTTTGGACTGTAACATATACTTGGAAGCATATATATCACCTCACTGGTTTTATAATGGGCTTTTTCTCCTGGCAATCCCACTCCATGATGAATTTGAAATTTCAGGTAAAATGCCAGTGCTACTGAGCCATTCTTGCTTTCCTGATGCAACCCCAAACTTGGCCATGGCCTGGGCTCACACACACAGAAAGCACTTCATGGTGTCCCTGCAGAAGACAAATTGAGGAGTTGTCACAGTGTCAACTGTAAGCCTGGCTGTCCAGGGACCACAGAGTGTATTCTCTGAGATGCTGATCTTTCATTCTCAGTCTGCACACAGTTACATGCTGGCAAACAGCACTAGCCAACTTCCCTAGGATTTTTTATGAGATGCAAGGGGAAGGACATCCCTATTCTGTTAAGTTCACCCTTCAGTTTTCTTAGAT